CGGACAGAAGGGCGTTCGGCAGGAGGGGAAAGGAGCCTTCCTTTCCCCTCCTGGCCAATCGCTGGCACAGACGCCCCTGCGCGCTCGGCAGGAGGGGAAAGGAGGCTTCTTTTCCCCTCCTGGCCGATCGCCGGCCGTCAGCCGGCTGAAGAAGCAGGGATGAGCTGGGGAGGAGGGCGTGGGAGCCTTCCCCCGCCCTCCTGCCCTAGCGCCGGCCCCATTTTCGGCCAGCGGCCAGCTGATCGGCGGCCGCAGCCATTTTCGCGCCCTGCCCTCGCTTACCGAGGGCGCGAAAATGGCTTGCCATTATGAGGAAACATCGCTTTACAGTGAGTGTAGAAGCCATTGGAACGCATTAAACGATGTTTAATGCGTTCCAATGGCATTTTCCTATCCGTATAGCGATGTTTTCTCATAGCGATGGTTAATCCGGAACGGATTAACGTCGCTATGCGGGGCACCACTGTATAATCTGTATGTTGGTTTAATATATTCTAACACTGAAGCAATGATTCTGGCAATTTCTTTAAAGTTTGAAGAAACCACTTTAAAGTTTCATATTTCCACCATCAGTGACAAACTACTTACTGTTCCTACAGCTTGTTAAGCAATTGTTTATGGGATATATGGTTCATTTTATGTAATGGTTTACATGTCTGTCTCTTTATTTGAATTGCACTGGTGCATACTGCTTTCAAAAAGACTACGTTGCCTTTTGTGATTCATACCACATGCAATTCTGAGTTACTGGTAGTACTGTATATATTTTTTTTTAAAAAGAACTTATTCTCCGTAAATTTTATGTTCTTTTTTAGTATTTTGAGTTTAGTGCAGAGGCCTTCTAGAGCAAAGGATCTATAATCTGAATAAAGTCATACAATCATAGAATAATTTCCCATTCTACTGCAGTCTTAGAGCTGTCTGAAAATTGACTCTGGAGGGATTCCCAGCCCTATAGAGCAGGTTTTTTGGGTGTAGAAGGGACAGGAAGACAACTTCAACCCCATTTCTGCCGCTTTCTGCTGTTCCACCAGGATAGGTCCATCAAGGGAGTTTTATCCTGGTAAAATAGTGACCAAAATCTTTTTGCATAGCTACGCAAATATTGTTAACTTTTGGAAAGCAAACTGCTCCATGTTAAGAAATCGCCATAGGCATTATCAGTTGCACATACAGACGCAAAACTCAGTATAAACAGATAATGTCTACAGTGGTTTCTTAACAGAAGGCAATGCACCTTCAAATGTTACTCTGTAACAAATACTGGCCCATGTCCCCTTGCCTAGTTACTGTTTTCCCTAGAAGCATCCTTGGACAACTGTGAACTATTGTTATTCATATTATGGATACCAGAAGTAATAATCTTCAAGCAGCAGTATCTCAAGTATAATACATAGTTTCTCTTTAAGACAAAGAGATGAGAACATTAAGTTGAACTATAGAGAAAAAAACCTGCAGGCTTATTGAAGCAATGCATCTTTCCACATTTGTGTGTGATAACTACCTGATGTTGCATTCTAGCTAATGATAGGCAAACCTTGATCTCAGCATCATCAGCACTTTATCTAAGATTTTAACTTTGTAGTTCTATATGTACGCAAGTATACTGCTACAAGGTTAACAGTGCACTAAATTATATCCCTTTGTACAATAAAAGCTACTTGGCAATTTGGAAACATTTGGAAACTCAGCAGAAAGTATGTTAAATGGGTTGCAGAATATATTTCTTAGTCTACAAAATCAAAATGTTCTATTGGCACTTCCATCTTCTTTTGCAAGATAGTCCTGCTTGAAAGTTGCTGTAGAAAGAATGCTAATTGTGCTCAAGAAAGTTTGGTTCGAAATAGATAATGAATAAGGGCTCTCCTTCCTTTTTAGGACCGGATTTCCTGGGGCCCAGCCAGTTTCTATGGATGAGCAAAATATTAAACTGTTGGAGCAGAAGCCATACAAAGTGAGCTGGAAAGCAGATGGAACTAGGTAAGTTTAAATTTATTTATGTATTATAAACCTGCCATGGAAGGCCCAAACAAAAAGTATACATTATTGTTATACCTCAGCATTTTTGTGTACATTGTGCATTGCCTTCTGAGTATGATTCTTCTGCTACATAGCCTTGCAGGTTAATAAGCTTTGGCAGCAGCATTGAAGAATTTGAGTATGCGTCTGTGGTGCGTAACTTGTGTCTTTTTGCTACTCTTGGCCATTCCATATGGAATCTCTGCAGCAGAAACCCATCAACATTTCCCTGCAGTTTTGCTGGTCGTTGACTTCTGGGTTCACCAATTCCTTGCAAACAACTAGTGACCCCTAGATCTCAATGAGCAAATAAAGTAGGTTAGAAACCCCACTCCCCCAAATGCATGCTAAGATATTGGTAGGGAAAATAAACAGTGGCCAAAATCCTATTGATGTTCAAGGCTTGCCTTGTCCTAGCTAATTGTGATTGTTCACTAGGTGTAGGTTTAATGCTGATTTTATGCCTGATTTTTGTTCACTTTCTTAGCCAAGATGTGCCCTGGTATCTCATAAGCTAGCTGCAGTTAGCTATACCCCATTAGTTAGCTACGCCGAGTGTGTATGTGGAGCAGTGTGTGTGTTTATGTGTAGGAGAAGTATGTGACTGCAGTTTCTAATCTCTAGCCACCCAGGCCTTTTCTACATTTATACTATATGTTGGATAGTTGATCAACATGTAATGGTACTAACATGATAATATGTGGAAAAGAAATATAGTGGCTAAAATCATGATATGCAGTTTTGCCTGTGCAGTAGAGATGACATTGAGATACATAGTAGGTATTTTTCAGCGGCCCCAGTCTCTGTATTCCAGGTAGAGAGCTGCTGAGAAGCCTTCATTGTAGACCAGGAGCAAGCGATTTGTTTGTACTGGCTTTCCTCTTTATTATTTCATGCCTTTGCATTACTTGGAGTTCATCTTCCTTACATTCCTTTCCTAGTCAAGAGACTGGTCTGATGGAATTGCAAGCTGCTTTTGTGTGTGTGTGTGTGGTTGTTCATACAACTGTAGTTATCACAATGACCATACTTTTCTTTAAGCATTATATATTAGAATACAAGCATACACTAGTGTTTCATTGATACACACGGAGATGTGGAAGTGTGACATGGCTATACTTTGGTTCAGTATTATATGTGAAGCCACACATTTGCATTTTTCCATATATGCAAAGGAACACATTTGCAATCCTAAAGGCCTGTATTTATGAAAAGGTGAGAATATTTTTATATGCAGCAAACTAGACAGCAGGAACACCTGATGAGCAATCTGTATTAAAGAAGCACAAACAAAATTCAATATAAGGGGAAGCTTCTATTATCATGCTGTCAGTAGTTTTGTTGTAGTGGGCCCAGCTGGCTGGAGACATTTTAAAGATGTTTACTCCTAGCTCTTTTCATTGCAAAATTGTGGATTAGTTGTACTGTACAACATACTCTTTTATGTCACATTTGGTTCTCTGCTAGGGCTTAGGCAAATATTGTACTTGTTCTGCTCTGGTTGATTCCAGCACAAAGTCTGAACAGTAAATGCGAAAATACAGGGAATTATGCTCAAAGCAAAGCGTATGTAGTAGAGTTCTAAAATGTAGCCTTGATTCCACCCCCTCAGGGTAATGGTGCTGAGAGCCTGTGCTTGTCCCTCCTCTATCTCCAGTAATCATGCTGGGATTGCATACTTACATTTAATGCATCTATGTACATCATATTCTTTTTTTAACTTGAAGATCCTCAGAGATGTTTCTAACGTCTGTCCAATTTAGGTTTTAAAACCTTGCCTCCAAATGTTCTGTGAGATGAATCATATAATGAATATATTGAAATCAGTTTTTGTTAAGCGGCTGCTGCTTCTGAAATATTTTTATGTTAATATATTCATGAAAAAGAAATCTGAAAGCAAGGTTAATTTTTTTCTCCATTACTGAAATTATTTTCATGACCCTGATATGAGATGTTATCTGTTATGGGGTGCTGAGGGAAGTATGGTTTACAAATAGCCCCAATTTTGAAGGACTAGGTTATGAAAACTGAAATTGCATGAATAAGATAATTATTACAATATGGTGAGGCGGGTTCTATACTTGCGGCTACTATTGGCTTTTGTAATGAAAAGTATAATTAGCCCAGGTGGTTAGTGGCATCCTTCAGTCCCTAGATACGTATCTCATTAATAATATTTGTAGCAGATGTTTATTATAATGAGTGAAGTTGAATGTTCAGATTGGAATGGTGTGGTGATGTTAATGAGGCACCTATTTTGGGAAGAGGAACACTATTGACAATATTTAAAAATGGTTTTAGTTGTCTATCAAGTAGATAGCAATAATAAAAAAGCAATCCTACATTTTATGTTTCAAAGTTCTTAAACTGACCAAAAACAGAATCTCTAGGCAGTGATTTTCCTTTGGAAACACACTTGTAATTTTTGACATTAAAAAAAGAGAATGTTTTTTGGCTGGAGGAAATTGTTTTCAAAAGGACATTCCACATAAAATAGGTCTGGGAAATGGTTTTTGTAATTTAATAACATCTACATATTAGTTTCTCTGTAACAAGCAGAATCATTCAGAAGTGAACATAGGAGTTCAGTTTATCTTTCTGCGCAACTCCTGTCATTAATTTGAAACTAGTTAGTAAGTGACATGCACAAAACACATTTTAATAACTTTTAAGGCATCATTGCTTCTCAATAAACTATCTTTATGCAGTTCTGTCAAATGCACAATTATTTTCATAGGTGAATTAAATACAGCAAATGAGATGTTTTTTCTTGTAGCAAAATCATTGCTGTAATGCAGTAGGTAAGAAAAACCATTTTTTTCAGCATTGTCAGTGCAGTTGTCTTTTGTAGTTCCACATTTTCACTGCATCCCTCTGGGCTTAGCACTTTGAGGTGTCTTTTATGTATTTCTGTAAATGTAAGCACCTTTCCTTATATTGGCTGTAAGATTTTAATGCAAGTACAGACAGGATTTAATTTGCTTTAAAATTAGATATTTCAGGATCTAATTTGCTTTAAAAAGGAAACAGAACTTTTACATGGAATAAAGCATTGGCTAAGGCATGAAGAATGGCAGATATAAAATCAGGCAGTGCAGTATTTCTGGATATGTGGCTGAACCCACAGTTTATTTTCAGTAACACAGTTGAACTCACAGTCCTTTAATGCAAATCCTCTCCTGAATCCCTTTTCAACAAGTTTTCTTTTTCTTTTTTGTCCTAATACAGACTGTAGAGTCCTAAACGTAAGAGAGCGATGTGGTTAAACACACAGGGATTTGCTGGTGAATAAATGTGAAGGATTTGCACTCTGGGGAGTGGGAGGAGCCCTTTTATGGCTGATGCTGTTAAACATCTAAGAATTAGAAACCCTTACAAATCTAGCGCCTACCAATAGAATCTGCATTCTGACTATCCCTACTTCAGTGAGTGAGGGGATAGTCTATTTAGAAAAGAACACTTGCTAAAAGACACCTCAAAGAATTTTGTACAAGTCACCTACTGAGAGACAAAGAAATCATTTCTCCCTGTTAAATCCTCTGCAATTTGTTTCTCGTGTCTTTACCTTTAAGAGGCAAAGTGTAGATGTATACTTGCAAACACAGGCCCAAACACAGAAGTTCTGACTGGCTGTTACGAAAGATGCCAATAACCCGTCAGTGCAATAACATAGAGATCATTCTAATTTTGAGCAGTTCACATATGGCACAATTTTGTGCAAAAAAAAATAAATGACTATTTTATACAATAGTTGGCTTTTTGTGAGCATTCTTACCAGAAGTGCCTAGAAGCCTTACCTGGCACTTTGCCTCTATCACCAACAAGTAGAAGATTGTTATTTACATCTCTGTGATAGCCACCTTGGGTCCTTTTAAGGAGAAAGGCAGGATAAAAATATTATCAGCCAGTTAGTCAGTCAGTCAACCAGTGATCTTAATCTTAGAACTATATGGAAGATCAGAGAATGGCTGTAATGTCATGTTATTTACTTTAATAGTATTATAATTATAAAGATATTTCTATGCAGCCCTGTATCTGAAGATCTATTATTACTATGGTCATTAATTTCCAAGGTGTTGGCTCTGTTTAGTCTGTTGCAGCAAAAACAGCATAGACTCTTGTGACATTTTAGATAAGAACAAATTTTGTTCAATATAAACTAGTTGTTGAAGTGGGCTGCAGTTTGTGAAGGCTTGTGCCAAATAAAACTTGTTACAAGACTTCTGTTTTTCGCTGTTATAAGTATCGATCATTTACAGGTTTCTGAAATTTTCTAAGCACTATGTAAAGGTTATAAGATAAAATGACGTGACAATGTGATATGCACAATACAGTATCAGAAGGCAGGAAAGAGGAAATCAAGCATATGTAAGCACCAATTCACAATGTTCAGTGATCACAGCAGTATAATTCTAGACAAGCAGACCCTTTTGCCTTTAAGTGCACATAATTGAAGCTTAATAGGTCTTTGTGGCACAACTGACTGTTAACCCAAGAATGTTTACTTAAGCACACCTAGAGACTCTTATAAGGATGCATAGGTATCCCTGGAGAAAGTCATAGCCTGTTTGTAAAGAATATGCTTTGCAGGGTACGAGACTCCAAGTTCATTCCATAACATTTCTAGTCAAAGCTGGATGGGGAAACTGACCTGCAGTTGTAATCTGACTCACTGGAGCCTCCACTGTGGTCCGTAGAGCTATTGTGTATTGTTCTTCTTTCCCCCACCCCCAGCTCTTCCCTCATAGAACACCAGGAAAATTTATAATATTTCATTCTGTTGTGTTTATATAGGGCTTTTGTGGCCCTTCATCTGCTCCAAAGGTTTTGGGGCACTTGAGAACAGCATGGGAGGGAAGGACACATCCTGAAGCTGAGGCTCCAATACTTTGGCCATCTCATGAGAAGAGAAGACTCCCTGAAAAAGACCCTCTTGTTAGGAAAGTCTGAAGGCAGGAGGA